ATATATATATATAGATATATATAAAATGCAACGTATTATAAAGTTTGATATTATAAAGTTATTGATTGTGGTTAATTTAGACATGGTACATGTAAAAATGCTTTGTAGAGATCCTTTCGTGCGTAAATATCTGTATATGTAAAAAGTATATCCTGAAAAATTATTATAAGAGAAAGTTTTCTACAAAATTCCATAAGAACAACATTCACAAATTTCAGGTCTTATGCAGAATTGAAGAAATATTAGCAACTAGAATAAACATTAAAAAAATATTTAAAAAATAAAGAATTAAGAATAAAACTTAAACGTAACGTGCAATAAATATAAAATAAGATATGTGTAATATGATATAATATCTTATATTTTATTTGTACATTGTGCATTTAATCTCTACATTCCTAATCTTTTTATTTTTCTAATATTTATTCCTAATATTTCCACCATTATGTGCACAATCTTAAATTAACAGTTTATCTACTATACAGTTTATTTACTATATCAATTTAAAATCAATCAAACATATTGCGAGAGATTATTATCGTGCTAAGCAAAGATATAATTGTTAGTAATTATTAATAGACGACATATTAACGAGAATGTAACACACGGGTAAATCAATATACCCTTGCCGATCAGCATTGAACTGATATCTGCGAACAGCGCGGACAAATCATATTCGCCGGATACTGGAAAAATAACGTGAGAACTTTAAAAGATCTGTGCTTGGGCGAGTATCGCGTGATCGAAACAGACATTGATATCTCGCAGACACACTGTCCATGCACTTAGAGTTATGAATATAATCATGAAACTCTTTCACAGTGTACAGATTATTTACTCTCATGAGTGCGGTGCTCCTAATTTTAGTAGAAGACATTTCCGCGGCTTGTGATCTCTGTTTCGTCAGCGACAAATAGAGCGTCACTTTACCTGTTTCATCACCAATTGCCCAGACCAGCAGATCCACGCACGCGGAGTTGGCCATTACGTTCACCTTAAAGCGATTTACGGTCCGGAAATTCGTGTCGATGTCTTCGCGCTCGCTCGCGTCATGCTGCCGTGATTGCAGTTCCGTTTGACCCGAAAGAAATAGACCTTTCACGAACTCCTGCACGTCCCTCGTGAATGGAGCTGGTAAGTCGCGCTGATTTTGTAACAACTCGCGCAATAGAGCCACCATCACTAGATTCATCGTCTCGCTGAAAGTACGATATGGGAAAATATGTACTTGACCAGAATTGTACACCTGAAAAAAAATTGCAAAAACAATTAGGATAATATGTAGAAGTATAAATAAAAATATAATTTTTTATCTATACAAATAAAGAAAAATAATCATGTGTAATATGAAACTTACTTGCTGCGCTTCTTCGTCTAGAAATGTCAAGATTTCCTTGGTAAGTAATTTTTTGGCCAAAGCTAGCACACTCTGTAAATGCACCACAGTAAATTGCATCCCGGCCCTTCTTTCGGGACTCTCGTTACAACGCATCTGTGGAAACTGATTGAAACTCGACCCATAACGGCTGAAGAAATATGTTGTCGGATCATACGGAACTGACAAGAAGGATTGCAGTGACGGTCTTTTGCCGCAGTTATAATCGTGACTATCATAGCCTGGAAATGCATTGTCGAGACAAGAATTAAAATTGCCGCTCAGAGATCGTGGGATGATGGGCCTGAAGTTTGAAAAACTGTGCTGTTTCTTATCGGGCATCAAGCGATTTTCTGTGTTGCCCACCGGTGAGGGTGTTTCTCGTCGTGGAAAAATGCGGCAAAGCAACGGTGGATCCGTACATGCAAAGCGACCCATTGATCTTGCCAGACCAATTAGCACCGGAACCAGACATTTGCATAGTGATACTGAAACAATACGTAATATCAGAACGAATTTCTTTTATTAATGTAAAACATATCTTAAAATAATAGTAAAATATAACATTTATAATTAAAAAATATGTTCTATGATTGAAATACAATTTAAATTTTTTCTTCTATTTTTTCAAATTTTAATTCAATTTTTCTGCTAATACAGTTTATTTTCAAATATAGTTTTTATCTTTCAAAAATTATTATTTATATGTGTCCTCAATTTTGATTTTTGCAAAATCAAAACACCACTCTAAAAAAAATGTTTGATTGAAAATTCTAATTATATCAATCAGAATTCTGATTTTAATTAAAATTTTAACAGCTTTAATCAGCGAATTCATTTTCAACTAGAATTTCATTAATCCAACTAAACATTTTTCTTAATACATTTGTATTTCAATACATCTATTAATGCTAGAATCACCAATGATACCAATTTGACTCCGCTAATCACTTAAATTCGGTTTTTTCTTGTATTAGATATACAAAATAGAGTATTAAAAATATATGAATAATAATATATAAATACAATAATAGAAATAATTCTAATATCAAAATAATTTCACTAAAAAAGAATGGTAGGAAATGAACAAATTAGCACCTTCGCAATTCTTGTAGAATATTATTAGTAGTTCTAGTGTTAATTCTTACTCTTTGCTTGCAAGCCCCTACTGCTATTTTGATCCTTGTATCCGCGTATTAGATTAGTCAGGACAGCGAGTATCTCGACCTGCGTCGAGATGATTTCTTCTCGTACCGGTTCACATCTGGCTGCCACGTCGCTCAGCAATGTGTTCAAACAGAAACTGAAACGTTCCGCAACCGGTACTCGTTCGGCGAGCGAACATTTTACCTCGTCCCGCCATACCGCCTTTGGAAGACCACGTAACAATCTCAAGAGATAGGGCAAAATTTTATCCCGGTGTTGCAGACCAGACTCCAAAAAATAAATCCCTAATGCAATAGTCGCATCCTGACCCCTTTGATCCAGACGAAATACACCTTGACCGGAATCTTGCGGACATAATTTGTACAGTTTTGCTACCTGTAATTAAGTGTAAAAAATATTACTTTTATCTCTTGATAAAAAGTATATTAATTCTTTAGTTAAGAAAAATAAAATGAGATAAGCTTTTTTAAAAGAGAGAAAATCTTATAAAATATTTAAAAATATATTGCATATTTTAATAATTTA